TTGCAACTTGCCGGTATTTAGGTAGATTGTACAGGATGTAACCTGGGAATTGGTAATACTTCAGTTTGTCATCCGAAATGCTAGCTTTCATAATTGTGAAAATGTCTACATCATAGGTTTGTAGGATTTTCTGTATTTGGATCTTTTTGTCCGGAGACATTCCTCCAGCATTCCACTGGAGGATCTGAAGATATTGTGATTCGCCCTGACGAGGGCGATTTTTCTTGTAGCCTTTTTTAAAGCTAATCATAATTAATCGAAGTCAAAAACGAATGCCGAGTGATAGATTTTTTTGCCGTAAGAAAATACGTTGTGTAGGGTGCATCACGAGGAGGTAAGTCTATCGCGCACCCCAAGAAAGACCTTGTACGCGCAAAAGCGTGGTCAAATTGAATTTTACATTGATTTTTGGGTCCGGATTGCAAAAAATACTGCGTCTTACCGCTCATTTAACCTTTTCAAGAAAATTTTTAATACAATTTTGTTACTAATGCCTATTTATTTTCAGTTTATAATTGGGATAACCCAGAGCGCTATCTTCTCGTATTGTCACCCAATGACTTATAATTATTTGACTTTTGGCTTGAACACAAATTTAACTCCTTTTGTTTATTTGAATAATTCTGCTAGAATTTCTTTTCACTATTTTAATGAAAGGCCTGATTTTGAATGAAGCGCTGCGACTGGGGCTTATGGCTGTGGCAATTGTTAAAATTTTAACCAGGCGTTATTCACTATTACCTATTTTTCGTGAGACAAGAGTTACGCAATGTTTGTATTTGTAACATTAAGTTCCCCATAGACCATTCTTTGTTCTCTGTGTATTGTTCTAATTGTCAAAGTACATGAGTTGATCCCATGGTCAGTGGATGAATTCGTGATCAGAACAATAAAAAAATTTTTTAAATTGATTTAATTTAGTGGTCAAACGTGTCACCTTTATTCATTTGTATAAACCTGCATAATTTATGGAACTTGAATGTTTTGAAATTCCAAATTAAATTAAAATCAACTATAGTAGTCATTTATTCCCGAAGTAATTGATTAATTAGATTTAGCCTAAGGTATTCCGTGTACTAAGATTATGAGAATTGATAGATTTGCTTGTAAGTCACACAGACAAATTAATCGATTTCATGTAACTAACATAGGTTAATTTAATTTGTGAGATTGTTAAAATGGCTATAAACTTGCACCTCATACTGGTTTAAAGCAACACATCTAATGTCAAGTTGAAATTTAAAACAAAATTAATTTAATATTTGCACTTTTCAAGGATGTTATTTCTATCAAGATTTCTTCATTTGATAACAATTATATTCCCTTGAATCTACAAACTTTATTTTCAAAAAATGATCATTGGTATCTGCGTGCGCTTTCACCAGTTTATTTGAATGAAAAGTTGGAATTTCGCTTCATTTATAGTCTTTATTAGCCACAAGGTAAAAGATAGGACTTTTCTCAAGACACTTCAAATATTGAAGATCCCAGTAGAATTCACCTTATATCGTCTCTAATAATTACATGCATATAATCTACTCCATAATTATCCTCTTTCAGTGAAAACGAAAATGGAGATTTCATTCGACCTGGGCTTCTAAAGAGCAATCCGTTCATGCAAGAGGAAATGAAAAGACGAGAGGAAAAAAAACGAACGTGTAAGTTGAAGTTGTTAATATATAATAATGTTATAAACTGTGTTTTATAAAAAAAATAATTGTAGTTAGCATGCATATCTGTGAGATGGGTTAGGAAAACGCTGGAATTACTTCAACCTTGATTACCTTGTGCGTCTACACTAACTCCTAAAATCGATTACCTGCGTATTGCAAAAAACTTCTTTCTTTTTTTGTCAACGCAATCATCTTAAAGTACAAAGTAGAAGGATTCGTTTCGGGAGGGGAAGGTGAATACATATTAGGTAAAGCCTTTTAACAGAATTTATCTACTTAGGCGCGGAATCACTAATTTAGTCCATAGAAAGGCCCGGAAACTTGGCATTCAAAAAATATTCGGGAGCTAGAGCTTTAATTTGTATCTAATTAAAGTTCCCTTATTGCAGGTTTACTGGAAAATGAACCATCCAGACAAAATTCGAAAGTTGCATTGCCCTGTTTTGAGAGACAAAACTCGAGCCAAGAAAACGCATTGCCAAAACCTAAATCCCCTTCACCGGTTATTCTTAGAAAACGATCCGTAGAAACTCCACCAATTCGTACCTCAGAACTCATCTCATTTGCGGAGAAACCTGCGCAAAGAAAAATCTCCCAAGTTGAAACCTTTTTAGACCAAATGCCACCAGTAAAAAATTCAAGACGAACTACTCAATTAAGAAAATCATGTTCATCTTCTTCGTCCACGAGTAGCTCTGAGTCATCTGGATCGTCGCGAAATGAGGACAAAAAGGTAACAAGCCCCACGACGATACAGGAAACTCATTTCAGAGGTTCTGCACATGAATCTTTAACAACTACAAGAAAGAGCTCCAGTGAAAATGAAGCCAGTACTCGTGTTCAACTAAGACAAAATAAAATATCAGATCATGAGAAACGAAAAAGTACCCATTCATCAAACACACGAAAGTCAAATTCTTCGAAGATTGTAAGCTATCATGATTCTTCAAGGAAATCAAGTCATACGGCTTCTCGGTTGGAAAGCTCCAGTGAATCAAGTAAACCGATGCCGAGATCAGAGTCTAAAAAAGAGATTGAAGGTGCTAACAGAAAATCTCATTCTCCCACAATTTCCACAACGCCAACTTCAAGCACGAGTACGATATCATCGAAGACCCAATCAGAAGCAAGTTCTGGTAAGCGTCTTTATAAGAAATCCGGGAATGCCTCAAGCCCTCGGAAAGTATCTTCGTCTTCAAGTGCCTCAGGAGTCTCTTTGAGCGATAAATCGGAATCAGGGAAAGAATCAGACCATTCCAATTCGACTTCAGCCAAACCGAAGTAAGCGTAAACGAGTTTGATTTGCTACAATCTCGTGGATATTATTCACTATTTCTAACACGTTTGCATCATGTAATTGGCTGATGCTTATTAAGGAGAAAATTCAGGTCATTCTAGTTTCCAATATTTCCTATTCTCGATATAGCAGATGCAGAAGTCACCATAAAATTTGTCATTAGGATAATGAAATCTTATGTTCTTCAATTACTCTGAGTGCCTGTTCTCAACTGTTTAGTATCTGAAGTAGTGTTCATTTAGAATAATTTCTTCCTTAATACTGAAAACCCTTACCAGAATAGTGTTTGGCCCATTTTAGATGGCAAAAAGATAGATGTACATAATGATAAGATTTTCAAGGGCACTTATTCATCATATTTAAGGAATATTCAAAATTTATTTATAGAATTGAGAAGCGGAAATCAGCCCTTAAAAATACGGATACTAAAAGTAAGTGCTATTACGAATATTTTCTCTTCAATCGGCATGAATTTTATTAACGTCTATACCTTATTCCATTTATATAAATTAATATGGGTTCGTAACTGGAAAAATTATTTAGACATTCCTTCAATATTAATATTTACACTAATTTCAGTCAAAATAACTTGAATAATTTCACTTAGATTTATTCAATGCACCGTTAAAATTTTGCTATTGAATATCAATAATCTACAATTCTTTTCAGAATCAGAAGTTACATCCGAAAATAAATGGTAAATTTGTTAACATTCAGCTGCTAATTTAATGAAATATTAGTAATAATATAATATACAAATATATTGCATAATAATTATAACCTAATTCAATATTTCATAATATTAATACGTCATTAAATTTTCGAATTTGTTACAGAACTTTCCTATTTTAAGTTAACACACCGGATTTTGAAATAATTTGAACACAGTTTTTTTAAATTTTATTCATATCGAAAATTTTTTAAAACTTTTAGTCCTATGGAAGAAACCATTATTGCAGAGGTTGTTGAGGTGAAAAGAAAATTAATGCTTTTACCAGGTATTTGTAAAATATATCACCTACATTTTTGTCTCTCCCCATTGCGTATGACTACAATACCAGTAAAAGTTTAGTATAAAACTACTTTTAAATAGTTAATACACCAAAATACAAGAAAGAATAGAAACTATTTTTTTCTTTCACGAAAGCAGAGTCAATAATCATTTATCAATTGCCTACAAAATGTACCTATTCGCTAAAATTTGTTAAGCTATGTGAACAGTGGCTTACATAATTTTGAGTAAATAGTTAACGCTTGTTGAATCCCATGTTGTAACTGAATTCAGAGTGAAAAGAGGGGGGTTTTGTGGGGCTAAACTAGCGGTGACTGGAGCAATTACCTTAGTTTTGATAAAGAGAAATTTTAAAATTCATGTTTCAGTATTTCGCAAACAGGCGTCAATTTGTCTGATGATTGATCCGCACCTATATTTAACTTAGTGAAACATTTACTGAGTATAGACTAACGTTCAGAGTCTTTAAATCAACACATTTTGTTCTAAACATAAACCAATTATACTATGTATGAACCCTTACCACTCTGCTTAAAATGAGAAAATATTCTTGATTTCTAGAAGAATTCATAGTTATCCATGAAGAACAAAGCATCATTCTAATGAAAAGTAGAATGATAAGATATTTTATTATTAATATCCAAACAATGCCGATGGATTTTCTGTTTATTCCTGTTCAGTCAGACTCACTTAGACTTAGTCTTTTATGAGCTTAAAATTCAATTAAAATTTATCGCCATTTTCAAATGGCTTAATTCTGCCTGTATTTGAATAAACTAACTGAGTTATTTCGGTGCCAATATTGTAAATATGTTGCTAAAAGTTAACAAGCAAATGTAGCACAAAATGTTATTTTCATGAACAAACGAAGATTTCAATTAATTGTTAATATTTTTTGAAGAGCAAAACGAAAAACCCAAAAACATTGAGCAAGAAGAGTACGCTCCCTCGGAATTCATGTAAGCAGATCGTTGATTTAATTTAATTTACTATATTTAATCTTGAATAAAATAGATTCGTTATATAGTGCAATAGCTAGTAAATCAAATATGCTAACCTTGCGAGAAATTCTTTTAAAAAAACGTGGACTAACCTTGCTGATTAAAAATGATTAAGATGAATGTTAGTAGTCCAATTTGAAAATAGGAAAATTATAAGATCATTGGAAATGGATAAAATATTTAGGCCATTTAAATCCATTTTTGTCAGCTTAAAGGCGCCTCATTTGGTATAATCCATGGAATCAACTTGAAAAACATTGCAAAGTGTTTTAAATCATTTAAGGAAGATGATTACTGACTTAATTGATTTTATTCATGAAGTGTCGAAGTTTATTTTGGATTACTCAACAAGAATAATATGCAGCAAATAACCAAGATGTCGTATGCCAGCGGAAACATCGACCCGTAGAGGATATTGCATACTGCGTGATATATGGGCGTCCCTTGAAATTCGTTTCAACCCTTTCAGCTCACCAAATGAAGCTGGTTTACGTCCAAGAAATCCTACTCTTATATTGAAATGCCACTTGATATGGCACCCATACAGTTGTTTCAGTATCGATTACACCTCAAAGAATAATATATAATATATTTCCTGCAAAGTTATAATTGTTATATTTTCATATTTCAAAGATGTGCACCTAGATAACATTGCAGTCTTTTTATTTTCAAGTCGCCACTTTTATTTTGCATTCTAGATCTGTTAAAAACCCAGAACATGGCTTTGAGAAACAAGTATCAATAGGAGAGACGTCGGAAGATCAGTCCAATTTACATAATGGTCGTCGAAATCACTCAAAATGGCATCGAAGATTTTTTAAACGTGGTAAATTTCAAGAAGGAATATCGGTGTTTTAAAGTAGAATTTTCATTACTATCCACCACATGATAAAAAAATTTCAATTTTTATTAAGGGAATCCATATAGATTGACGTAATAGTGAGATATTTCAATTAAGCTTGAATAGATGATCAGTTAGACTTTTAAATTAAAAGGCAGAGAATCAAAAGAACCAAAATTAGGCTATCTTCTGGCTAGATAAATTTAACTTTTGTTTAATTTCATTATATAATGAACCGCTCTAATTAAGTTCAAGCTTGAAAATATCGCCACTTGGCTTATCTAGAGACAGTTTAAATTCTTGGCACGAAAAATTGACAGTAAAACTTTAAATTATTAATCCATCTGGATTAATAACTTGCGTTTGTATCTTTTAATAACCGTTAATTTGGGAGTCTATTAGTATATCCCAAACGTAGTTGCCCAGCAAATTTTGCACGCGATAACCCTTTAAATTTATGTATCGAAATATTTTACCATAAGTTCAAAAAGACCAAGAAATTTGGCAATGAGAAAATTTGATGGTGTCTGTAGTAAATTAAAGAATGAACGGAAACTCATTAAAAGAAACATATTAATCAACAATTGCTCATTGTGCCTTCAATTAGCATTTTTCCGAAGGGATATTAACGCTAATTTTAAATTAATCTTAATTAAATTTTCGAGCTTATTTCAATTAATATTTTCAAATATCATCTAACTAATATATTTTCATTAGTCTCACCGGAAATGCGCTGTATTAATATGTTCAATCGTTGCTACCAATTGAATTCAGAAAATAATACATATTTATATATACCTATATTCAAATTGGAAAAAGTTAACTTCATTATTCTTAATCAGATGTAAAAGAATAATTCGAAAGTACATTCCTTATCTTTAAAATCAGCACTGGTGATAAATGGGTAAATTTCCAAGAGAACGTTGGTTGTTCACACCGTCATCAGTGGCTCTATTAGGACTTATCGCCATGTGAAAAGTAGGCCCGACACTGGTCAAAGATGACCTACCTTTATATGTGCATTTATCCATAGTAAAAGGTCACTATACATACTCTCTTTTAAAATCAAATTTAATGAGTAGAGGTCTAAAATCTGAAGGCATACTCTAGTCAATCCGTTTCGGCTTCAAGGTTAAGCTTCAAGATTGCGAAAATATAAATATGGAGTTTATAAATTATATTAAATATAATAGAGGAAGTTAGGTATCTCACACTTTTAATAAGAACAACAGATAGACGTGCTTGGAGTGTTTAGTTACAGTTACCTTACTTTTCACTAGCTCGAACCCCTTATAACTGGATGAATTTAATGACCTTTCCTCCAATTTGCAGGTTTCACATCGTCTAAAACCCTCGAGAGCCCTCTCTTAGATCAAGAAAATAGGTGAGCTTATAAGAATAACTTAGATTAGCTGATATTATTTGGAAGTGAATCTTAATTTTTCATACACAGCGGCAAATTAAACAAACAGAGGAGATTCTTGCAGCGTTCAATGCCAAATCTTGCCGAAATTTCAGAAAAGCCCGTGACAAAACCCAGACGAAAATTCGTGTCTTTCCTCAGACCCAGACGTTTGCTTTTTAATGCGTCTGATAAAGGTTAGAGAGGCTTACAAAATTCTAACATATCAGTTTCATATAGCATAATTTAAGTAAGTAAGATAACTGAAATATCTTTTAATTTATAAGTTATATGCAAATGAAATTGCCTTTCACAGTTAAATTCAATAATTTAATAAACAGACAAATTCGGCTTATACTCATAGTCGATACTTAGCTAGTGAAGAGTACGACTAACACCGGTTTTAATGTTCACCTGAAGCTAGTAGAATGTGAATAACTTCCTGAACTTTGGAGAGAATTTTACTTGGAACAGTTTATGTGACGATCTACGCGGGGTGGTAATTTGAATTGTCTATAAAATGGCGGTTATTGTGTGACAGGTATAATGGCCCGTACAGAATTCTCTGAGGGCCAAAAGCATATTATTAATAAGGATTAAAACCATCACTATATGCTTTAATGATCATACTATGTTACTGAAGTTCAAAGGTAAATCGAATAATTGGGATATCATGAGTAAATGGATCAAATGAATTGTAATTACTTTAAGTAAATGCATTATAGACACTAA